GCAGCCTTGGCTTGAGTTCTGGCTAAGAAAGAGTTTAGTCAGGACTCAAACTTTAAGAGAGAGTTTATTTAGGAAGTCACAGAGGTAGTAGAAGTGAGTTGTAGAAGAAATGGGCTCAGGAAACAAACTACAGTGGCAAAAGAAGGGCCCTTGGAACTTAGGGGAAAAGCAAGGATATACTAGTGTGTACCTGGGGGAAGGAAAGGGGGGAAGATTTCAGTGTGCTGGGGAAAAATGGGGGTGGGAAAAGGCGTAGACATGCTCAAGAGAGAGCTGAGCTGGGTTCTCTGTTCTAAGGACTTTTAAGGGTGGGCATTTTAGGGGAGTTCCTAGGGGAGGATCTCAATAGACTATTCATCAGCTTTCCAGGTGTGTCCCTTCAGGGTTGTGGTCTCCAGTGAATGGTCAGCGCCAGGGAAGGGAGTCATTAGTCATCACAGCTGGTCCTGATGTCAGCCATGGTATTACTCCACCTGGCCTTGCTGCTTTTCTGGGCCTGGAGCTGAAGTACAACTGAAGCCTAGATGTTATCTCTAGTTTGACCAAAATTCTGTCTCTGTGGTCAACAAACCTGAGGCTTTGTTCCTAAGATTATTTGATTCGGGTCAGAACTTCATTGTTCTGAAGTCTTTTTTTTTTAATCCTCACACAATATGTTCTTATTAATTTTTTGAGAGAGAGAGAGAGAGAGAGAGAGAGAGAGAGAGAGAGAGAAATATTGATGTGAGAGAGAAACATCGATCAGTTGCCTCTCATATATGCCCCAACCAGGGATTGAAACCACAGCCTAGGTATGTGCTGTGAACGGTTATTGAACCCAAAACCTCTTGATGTATGGGATGATCCACCAGCCAACTGAGTCACCCGGCCCTGAGGGCTGTCCTGAGCTCTTAATGCTTAAGGGAGTGGTCATGCTAGAGTTTGTATGGGGTCATATGAGTCTATGCCAGGGGTGGGCAAACTTTTTGACTCGAGGGCCACAATGGGTTCTTAAACTGGACCGGAGGGCTGGAACAAAAGCATGGATGGAGTGTTTGTGTGAACTAATATAAATTCAAAGTAAACATCATTACGTAAAAGGGTACGGTCTTTTTTTTTTTTTTTTAGTTTTATTCATTTCAAACGGGCCGGATCCGGCCCGCGGGCCGTAGTTTGCCCACGGCTGGGCTATGCTCTGGCCCCCTTGTTCCTCTTCTAAGGGGGTGGACCACCTGACTAGCGACATGCAAGGAGAAGAAACTTCAGAGCAGGGTCTGAACCCCATATAAAAGGTTCCCCGGGGGATGAGATCCCACCCTACACCTGTCTGTTGCTAGGCACCTGGGACTTTCCTCTCTGGTGACCTTCCATACTTGGTCCGTTGTCCTTGCTCTGCGCATGCCTAACTGCCTGCTACAGTAAGTCATATTGCTGTCCTCTGATTTCATCAGTTTTTAGAGACAGTTCAACACTTCTGCCTGTGGTCCTCACTGCTGCAGTATGGACTCGTTGCCTGCGGTTCCTGGTGCTGGACTGTCATCCTTTACTGTCTTGGGAATCCCTCTTGTGTCAGAGCATGTATTTCTTATCTTCCTCTTTCTTGATTTACTCCTTTATTTTGGTGGTGTGCGTCATTGACCAAACTCAGTAACTTCCTGAGAAAGGGAGTGTAGAAGATGTCGAGGAATTATATGTTTTAATATATTTTAATTCTAGATTGGAAGTCATTCTCCTAGGGAATTTTGAATGTGTAGCTTCTAATACTCAGCATTGCTGTTGAGAAGTAAAAATCTTTCTGTTTTCTAATCCTTTGTGACCATTTTTTTTCCCCTCCTCTGGAAGTTTAAAAGAAGTCTTCTGGTTTTTCCAGTGTTCTGAGATTTCACAAATATGTGTTATTTGGAGTCTTTAGGTCCATTATGCTGAGCATGTGCTTTCAATTTGGCGATAGGTGTTTCTGTTCTGGGGAATTTCCTCCCCTGTTTTCTCCGTTCTCTTTCTGGAATTCCTATTAATTAAATGTTGGACCATGGCTCTTCTAATCTTATCTTATTTCTTTTAGCTAATGTGCATTTTCTTTGGTAGATTTCTTCAGCTTTAATTTTCATGCCTTGCAGGTAGCTTTTGTTTGTTTGTTTGTTTCTGGTAGCAGGCCATTAACTGCTAAGAGCAAATTGTTCCTTGTCTTTTTTTTTTTTTTAAATGGCACCCTGAATATAAATATCTTCTTTTATTTCTGAGGATATTAATGATGGTTCTTTAGAAGTTTTCTTCTTCCTCATTGCCTGATTCCTCTTAGTTGATGTTTTGTGGGAAGGTCTCAACATGAGAAATTCAGCATCGGTGCGTTTATCTCATCCCAGTGCTGCCAGAATTCTGTGGCATAGGCTTGTTTGGTTGTTGACTTTTTTCAGTTTGAATTTCTGGGGACTTTCACTTTCTGGCTTTCTGGAGACTGCTTAGTCAATTACCACTTGACCATCTGTTTTCCAACTTTGAGAATGTTGCACTCTCGACTTTCTTGTATTAGGGGATTCATTTCTTTTTTTTAAAAAAAAATTCCTTTACTATAGTTTTAGTGGAGTTTTAGGTAGGATGTGTTTAAATTGCCATTTATACTTTTGGGTATCATTTATACCCCAAAGCCAGGTGTAGTTTAAATGGAAATGTGCCAAATTACAAAAAAAGAAAAAAAATGCCACAAAGTAGATTTTTATTAGAATTGCATTAAACCTGTGCTTTTATTAGGTAAGTATTGAGATCTTTATAATAGTCAGTTTCCCCACCCAAGAGCAAATTTATTCAGGATGTCCTTTATATCTTCAGGTTCACTTTTCATTACAGTATTTCTTCATTCGGTGCTGAAAGAAGATTGTATTTTGTATTTACCATGTTGGTATAGTTTTGAGCTCAAATACACATGATCTTTTAAGTTATTTCTGCTTTCTTAATTGTCTTTATATCTTTTGTTTATTCCTACCCTCTGAAGCCTGGCTCACTGGAACAAGCAATGTTAGATGCTTTAGTGATGGATCGGGTGGATTTTGTGAAGCTCTTAATAGAGTATGGAGTGAACCTCCATCGCTTTCTTACCATCCCTAGACTGGAAGAGCTCTATAATACAGTGAGTATTGGAACATTTCATCAATCTCCTTCTTTAAAATTTACCTTAAGGTTTAGCTTGAATGTTCAAGTCTTCTTGAATGTTCATGTACAAATATAGCTTATAGAGAGATAGACTTTTCAACCAAAGAACTACTCTTACTGATTCCATTTGATCCTAAGGATATTTTTGCATTTCCCATCATTAACTACACAGAATAGAGGTGTAATCTAACTCAAGAAAATATTGTAGTAATTATGGTCTTACTATCATAATTAATGCCACAGATGGGAATAGGAATAAATTAGTTTAATTGAATTACTGAAAGCATCTTAAGGCCACTGTTAAAATTCTGTTCCTGCAACTTTTTATGCACCCCCTTATTGTAACTAAACTGGCTTACTCATTGTAAAAACACCAATTGGTTGAGTCATGTACCCTTCCTGAAATGTCCTTCCTTGTCCATTAAATCTTAGTCTTTCTTTAAAGTCCTATTCAAGTCCTGTCTTTTTGACTGGTCCCTATAGAACAAATTATTTTCAACTCTTGAGCACACACATCTTCATATTGTTGGTTATTTTTCTGTGTAAGTACCCATTCTTTTCTTTTTTAAAAATATTTTTATTGATTTCAGAGAGGAAGGGAGAGGGAGAGAGAGAGAAAATCATTGATCGGTTGCCTCCTGCACATCTCCTACTGGAGATCGAGCCCGCAACCTGGGCATGTGCCCTTGACCAGAATTGAACCCGGGACTCTTCAATCTGTAGGCCAACGCTATATCCACTGAGCAAACTGGCTAGGGCAGTACTCATTCTTTTCTATTTGACTATAAAAACTCTGCAAAAAAAGTACTTATATTCCTCATTGACTCTCTCAGAAACTTGATTGAACATAGTAAGGGTTCAATAAATATTTGTTGATGGAAAGTAATTGTGTGGCTTATATATGTTAAAGGGTAGTTACAAATTAGCTAAAATTAATTTCTGTCTCTTGTCACATAAAGCTAAGTCCTTACTACCTACCTATACACATACATCTTGCTTTGAAAAGTATTTCAATCTAATTACATCTTCTCTTGGGAAACATCTTCCTTGGAATTAATGTGGCTTAAGCTGCATTCCTAAAGATGTTAAAAGAAAAATTTTCAGTATTCTGGATTATTTATGCATTCTGAAATAAAGTTTTTCCCCCCTGGTAATTAAAAGGCAATTAAAATTCCTTTTTCGTTCTTTATTACAGAAACAAGGACCTACTAATATGCTCTTGCATCAACTTGTCCGAGATGTAAAACAGGTAACCTAGTTATGAAGTTGTGCACATTTCTTTATGCATTGCCTTAGGTTTTGATGGAGGTTTCCCCAGATTTTGCTCTGTAAAATGTAGATTTGGATTTTCTAGTGAATTACCTACCCCTACCCTCTTTACTAGTGACTGAACAATTTCATCACCAAAGCATACTTTTATAAATTTACTCTGTGTTTTAAAACATTTGACCAACAAAGGAAGTATCATAAGCTAATAATTATTTTCTCATAAAATATCAATCAGACACACATAAAACTTCTAATCAGAATTAGAGCTCAATGTGGTACAGCAGTATTGCCAATGATGATAATAATATCTGTTAAAAATACACTTCCTGGACATGTGATTTCCGTTGTTTTTGTTATTGTTTTGACTATTAATGATACCTTAGTGATGGCTTGGAGGCCCTCACTTCTTTTTTTTAGTCTAAGCATTGTCCTAGGGGACTAGGATGAACCCCATTGCTCTGTTCCCTTCCTCATAATTTGCTGATTGTATTTTTATTGAACTTTGAGTGAAGTCAGATTTAAAATAATCTGTCCCGTTATTTACCAAAACTTCTCAACTTTAACAGATTTTTGCGCCTTAATTCCTTCTCTTTTAATTATTAGGAGCTTTGATTCCCATGTGCAGAATACTGGGAGTGCCTTTATTTGTCACCCTGATTAATATCCATCCACGACGACCTTGAAAAGTTCTTTCCACATTTTTCTGAGGTCTAATACCTTGGTGGAGAGAGTATAGGCTTTCTGGTTATATTGACGTGGTGGGAGAGCCAGAGGGAAAGGATGCAGAAGAAGACATTTAGCTGTCAAATTAGTAGTAAGCAAAAGTGTCTGTGCCTATGTAAATTTAGTTTGCATCGATTTGTGCTAGATCAAAATGCTTCTCCTTGGATTATTTCCTTAAACTTACATTCTGTCACAGTAAACTGAAGAAAAAGGAGTGGGACAGGTTAAATAGGCTCTAACCTTGCAGCAGATAAGATCATAATTTTTATCATATCTTGAAAAACATAAATTATGAAAGTGAAAAAGGGATATTAAATCATTTACACATTTACATATATACATATATATCACCTTACTTCTTGTTCAGTGCCTCATGAGCGTTATCCACAGAGAGCTTGTTCAGTGCTCTGTGTGCCTTTGAAAGTGTCCTGTGAACTACACTTCAGAAATAACATTTTTGAAGGTGGGTTTTTAGGGGCTGAAATAAGTTTCATTTAGACTAAGATCCAGGTACTTAGAAATCTGTTGCTAGGCTCTCCTTACCAACCATAACATTTGCCTTGGCACAGCCTTATATTGGACATCTCATTTGGTTCTGCCATCCCATGTTTCTTACTTCTATGTGTCCCACTTCCTTCCTTCTTGTTTTGCGTATGATGTTGTCAGCACAATGCAAAGTGTTATAGCCATTTTCATAAAGAGAGAGGCTGAAGATTTAACCTATTGTTAATTTTTGATCACATACATTCAACATATCTCCCAGTAATATTACTTCTATTGTAGTCATTATGTTATTTTCACTTAAAAACAATTTTTAATACTACACTTAAATGTATTTTATTCTAAAGTATGTGCATGCATGAGAGAGAAAAAGAGAGAGAAAAGGAGCAGATATAAGCAGACATTCAATGTCTACAAAACTAAAACCATATTAAAGCTAAGTATCCTTTCCCATCGCAACAAGGAGTTTGTATCAATAGCTGGTCATATGAATTGATGATTTTGTAAAAATGATTGAAAAGTATGGCGCTATCTCTTTGCAGTTGATTTGGTTATGCTCTAATGGCATGGAAAAGTAGAAAGAGAAAGAGAACGGAAAGTTATAACTGATTACATGTTTTGTTTCAGCACACCCTTCTTTCAGGCTACAGAATAACACTAATTGACATTGGATTGGTAATAGAGTACCTCATTGGTGGAGCATATCGCAGCAGCTACACTAGAAAAAATTTCAGAGCCTTCTACAATCTCTACAGAAAACACAAGGTAGCACAATTGAAAAGACCCTAGTAAAATTACCGATGGCTCATAAAAGTGGCTTGGGAAGTTCAGACGGGAATAGCTCCTAAAATGGGCATTCTGTGCATCAACATTTTTTGAGTATTTGCTGTATGTGAGGTACTGTGCTGGCATGTTGGCCTGGGATGGACATGACGATCAGGAGTTTAGAAACTCATAGAGGGAAAATATTTATAGATAACTAGCCATGATACAGAACAGATTAGAATATGTGCTATACTGACACAGAACTAATGTGATGAGAAAGATTAGGGGGAGAGATGACCATTTCTTTCCTTCCCTTCTGTCTCTTTTGAAAATCCAGAAGTCTAAAGCTTAATAGGATTCGATCTATAAACTCATAGGAGTCCATAGTCTGGAGGTGACAAACTTGGGACAAGTGTGGGGATTGTATTGAAAGATGCATGCACAATGTACCTAAAATACATACTGTTCATCATAGTTTTAAAAGTCTAGGAATGTGAAATCAGACTGGCTAACAGAAAACATTGCTTGTTTCTTGAAACTGCCTTTACAGAGCAGTAAACTGAAGAGACTAATTTTTATTAGAGGCTAATTGAAATGTTAGGAAAAGGGCATTTTTGAGAAGAACAGAGACAGTGAAAGGCACAGGGCTGTGGGTGTCAGGGGATGTTCTGCAGTGAAAAGGAGACCTTTGTCACTGGAGAAGTGCCAGGTGGTGGTGAGGGATGAGACTGGGAAGGTAAGTTGGGACTAAGATCACATGAAGAGTCCAGAATATCAAGCTGCTCAAGGTTACTTTTGACCTTTATTCATAAAGAATTAGGTGACATGAAAGCCCAACTTGGCTTTAGGAAATGAAATAAAAACCAAAAGAAACCCAGTGTGCACAGAGAAAATGCTCTTTATTGAAATTTCGAAAGCTTAGGGATACACTTGAGGTGTCAGCCCCTTCATTTAAACAAGCTACAGCTTGCTGTGTGGGTACCAGTGGCAGGTACCAGGACTGACTGTGGCCTCGGTGCAGTCCAGGGCGGAGCAGGCTAGGCACCTGTCCTGGTGCCCTTTCTAGAAATGACCCATTTCTCTGATTCTTGTCTAGTGAAGAAGTACTGACTTTATTGTGTTGCCTCTTAAATTAGATCATGGAGTTACAAATACATGGTTTGGAGTCAGAGAGATCTGGAATTGAAGCTTTGTTTTGCTCATTAGTAGCTGTGTAATCTTGAGCAAGAAACTTAACTTCTCTGTGTGCCAGTTTCCTTATCTATAAAAGGGGAATAACAATACTCCTTTTGTAAATTTATCAAAAGGACTAACTAAAACAATAACTGAAAAACCCATATTTTAGTTTTTTTTTCATAGTGGGTATCGAGTAACTGTTAATAATAATTCTCATGATTATCACTGATGATACTAATTAATTCTTTATCACAATAATAATAAGTTCAGTACTATCTTTAAAAAGTCTTCACCCCATCACTTTTATTCTAATTTATATCCATAAAACAGAAACTAAAAATAAATAAAATAGTTCAAAGCCTAGGGTTTGTACCATAAACTTTATATTTGTCCCTTTACCAATGTTTCTCTTTGTTTTTCTTTCTCATTGATTAAAGGTTCACGCAATGAGTTTTTTTTTAAAAT